AACAAACAAACACAAAAAAAAAAAAAAAAAAAAAAAAAAAAAAAAAAAAAAAAAAAACAGAACAAAAAAAACCAGCAATATTCCCGTTTCTCGATGCAGATGAAAAGCTGCTGTCCAGTGACAAATACGTGATGTCAGACTCCGCGGAGAACGATTACTCCCGGCAGATGAATCTCACTGTCAATTCCCTGGAAAAAAAGGACTTCGGCGAGTACGTTTGCTCGTCCGAGAACGCTCTCGGGAAGGCCGAACGCACCGTACGGTTACAAGGTAAATAATAATCTGCCGTCGACAACGCGACACGTCGCCGACCACGTTCCCGTTCGATCTCCGATACATGTTCACACGTGGCTGCAATATTAATTTGCAACAATTTCGACGCGACGTTCAAGAAACTGTGACAATCGCTAAAAAACACTTTATATTTCTTATACAAATGAAAAGAATATCAATCGTCTGAACAAAATTTGGAAGAACGCTTTATTCAGTCACGTAGTCCCGAGAAAACTGAACAACTTTTGTTCGAACAGTTTTACGAAATTTCATTTCTGTCAAAAGTTACAGCACTTTGCAATTATTCGAATGGTCCTAGCTTCTCGAACAACACGTCACTGAAAAGATTAATTTTGTAACATCGCAGGCATAACATGCGCGTTTTGCGATTGAACATCGAAGAAGAGATCCCAAGGAACGCACCTGTAATAATTTTTCACGGGTTCGAATTGTTATTAATTAGTTATAAACGATTTTCCGTTTTATGCTTCGATATTGAATATTTGCGTGAATACTTCGTGCCGCTTTTTCCATAAGAGGCAATGTAAATTCCGGCACGAATCATTTGCTCGATAGGGGTCCGTACAGCGCCAATTCGTCCAGTGGCAAAACGCCCAAACTGTTGGGCAACGTGACCGACGGAGGAGAGCAGTCGGTAATTACCGACCAAATAAGACGGTTGCGCCATCTTGTGGCAAAACGTCCGAACTGGTTGCCAGGTAAGTTGTCAGTAGGTTGCTGGTTTCAGAGTTTCCCGCTAGGCGTCGCGCACGGTTTATTCCAAACGCCGTTCAGCGGGAACTGTTGCAACTAATTGGTAAAAAATTATCCGTCGGTTTTAAAATTCTGACGTAGTCGGCGTCGAAATTACCGACTGCTCTTAACCTCGAATTTTGCTTTCAGCCTCCTCCTTCAGCCTACCATAAAGAAGGTACATTGCAATTAATTTTATACTCATTGTGCAGAACTGTTCCTTGCCGTGGAAACGACTCCCAGCCCCATAGCGAAGAACACGGACCTGAAACCCCGTAAGAAGCCGATGCAAAAGGGAAGGAAGAAGAACAACGGAGGCAGGAGACCACACGGAAACAACTTTGACGACTTCGACTCGGCTGGAAATGAAGACGACCTGAGCTCCACGCAAGTCATGGGGGGTAGCACTGTCCACGAAGGCCATAGGACGGAGAGGCCCCCCATTCTACCGTCGTCTTCGCCCCCATGGGTCAACATAAACGCTGCTAAGCCCAAACGACTCTCGGCGTCGGTCACGATACTATTTTCGTTCCTTTTCTCGATCATGGTTTTTCTGCTGTAAAAAGTACGTAGCGCCGGAAGTGGCCGCCGGAAGGAGAAACAGAAATGGGAAATGAGAATCAGGCAGGGAAACGTATAGAGGATTTGTTGACGAAGAAATTTTGCTATTTGCACATGGTGGTTTACACTAGAAATATTGTAGCTTTTTTTATATCAAGATTGTTACAGAATTTGGTAAAGAAAGATTTGTCCTTTGTTACAAGTTTTATATTTTTAAAAGATTTGCGGAATTAATTTTTCAAATTAAATTACTGATCGTACTTGTTTTTTTTAGAATAAGTTTCAACCATAATTCACTCATGGGATTAGTGTTATCAACTGCGAGTTAACGAGATATTACTTTTTATTGAAACGAAAATGGTTTGGCAATGGACTAATGGAACTGGAATGACAAAAATTGAATTCGAGAAAGAAAAGTTGAGCCGAAGGATAGAATGACGATTGGAGGAGGATATCTCACGCCGAGAAGAAATATAGGTCTTCCTTTTATTCGATTTAGAGCGAGCTATAGTCAGTGTGTGCGACCAAATACAAGGGACTTCCTCGGGAAAAGAATTTTGTAAATAGGTAGCATGATCGATACGATAAGAAACCAACGAATGATCGCACGGACTGCAGCTAGATGCGCCAACGAGAGGTCTTCATATCTATAAGTCTTCATATCGTGACTACTTAACAAATTAATCTAATTACAATACCTATTTTGCGCTCTTATAATCGACTAAACTTTGGACATTTTTCACGCCGCGACCGTAACGGCTATCGGAGCGATTTTTACAGAGAAAAATTCTCGAAACAATACCGAATGCAACGATATTTTTTATAACATTATAAACATTTAGACGCGTCTAAATAAAAGAAATATCGTTGCACACTTCGCAGAATTTTTCGGTGGTGAAATTGTATAAATAACATTTATGGTTGGAGCGTTAAAAATGTACACACAGATGGAAATTTGAGTATTGCGACGTTATGGTAGGTTCATAATTTTTGTTATTATTTAAGTGGTTATCAACTATCGATAAGTGTGTACGCCCTTCGCAAAATAGTTTAAGGACTAACATAAAAGAAGTCTTCCGAAAATTCAGATGTATAAATAATATCTGCACTCGCGCAACGTCAAACTCGCATGATTCATAATTGTTTATTTCTGTTTTGCATATAAGATATAATAATAATATTTAACATTTCTTTCCTTTCGGAGAACTTGCAAATCACAAAGAGTTGACCAAAATCAAAACCACAAAATTTGTCAACGGAGTCAGCGAGTCGGAACTACGGTACGAACATTTTTGAACTCGTGTTAACATTTAAAAAGTCTGTAGTATAATTAAAAAAAAGGAAAGGTCTCCCTTCATTTAATTCGAACAATTCTTTGAATTATCATTGTAGACGTATTTGGAATTCATTCGGATTCAGTAGCTGCCCTTTTCAAACAATTATCATATAAAATAATTGCTAAATAATCTATAAATAAGTTACGTTAATAATCTAAAATTACGAATGAACATAAAATATGCTTGATGCTACATGTATATGAAGACTTCGATGAACATTGGAGTTGCCAAAGTCCAAGCACACTTCCGTTGTTCGAGAAAAGACGTAAACGAAATAACATAACCACAGAAATGTTCAGGGGAATTTTCTGCATCCATTGTACGCAAGCATAACTATTTATTGTTGCCAGTATAGAGAAAATTGAATGTTTGTTGCAACTATAGATGATTCTTGCGAATTCGATTTTAAAAAATATTCTGAGATTACAGAAATGTTCAGCCGAGGGTAACGCATCGAATGATAGTAACATCTTCTATAAATTAGTTCGAAATTTCTGACGCAGAGGGCGCGAAAATTACCGACTGCTCTCCTCCGTCGGTCACGTTGCCCAACAGTTTGGGCGTTTTGCCACTGCACGAATTGGCGCTGTACGGACCTCGAAAAAAGCTTCGGAATGTTGCCGCAAGAGGCTCTGCTGTCGCGCGAATGATTCTTGCCGGAATTTACATTGCTTCTTATGGAAAAAGCGGCACGAATCATCCACGCCTATATTTAATATCGAAACATAAAACAGAGAATCGTTTATAACTAACTAATAACAACTCGAGTATGCGAAAAATGATTAAAGACAGTTTGGCAGAGATTACTTCTGAATTTTCTGTACCCTCAGAATACTTTTTAGCCGCACGTTTCCCTGAAAGCATCAACGACGATAGAATTCCGAAAATCATTCCAGCGAAATTCATTTGAAAATATCAAATTACGATGATCAGCGGTGAAACGGTATCGAAACGAAATCGAGAATCGTTATAAATATTCGAACGATCCGTCGTTCGGGTATTATTATTTCGTTGTGAACGCTTCAGAATGCTTCGAATTTGTAAGCATAAGGCGTTTGTATTCAAACGGGAAACTGTATTCCATTTTTGAGGGAAAAATTCCAAAAATTCCTACGGGCATATTATACAATTTGATAGACATAAAGGAGGAGGACTGGTCGTGGTTGACTTTATCATTAAGCGTGGCGTATACTATAATTATGAATTGACCAAAATTGATTTTGAATCGCTTGTTAAAATAGAGCAACTCTACGGTAGTCCGTATGGCAGAATGGAAGGCACGACAATAAGTACGTTATAGTGGAGTCCTGTTTAATTGGAAAGTTGCCTTAAAAAACCTCCTGGGCAAGCACCGATATTCTTCCAGGTATCGTTAACATGATTAAGCATTAACCGTACACAATGAATGAAATTGTACTAGGAAATTCGACTATTTTGTAGAGACAGAAGCCTTGTGAAATAAACAAATTCCTGCTCGATTTGAATTGCTGAACGTTACGCATAAAACCGTTCTTTGTTTTCAGCGGTGAGAACAGTGTGTATACGATGTTATTGGTTTCACGATGATTAAAACGANGCGTTTTGCCACTGCACGAATTGGCGCTGTACGGACCTCGAAAAAAGCTTCGGAATGTTGCCGCAAGAGGCTCTGCTGTCGCGCGAATGATTCTTGCCGGAATTTACATTGCTTCTTATGGAAAAAGCGGCACGAATCATCCACGCCTATATTTAATATCGAAACATAAAACAGAGAATCGTTTATAACTAACTAATAACAACTCGAGTATGCGAAAAATGATTAAAGACAGTTTGGCAGAGATTACTTCTGAATTTTCTGTACCCTCAGAATACTTTTTAGCCGCACGTTTCCCTGAAAGCATCAACGACGATAGAATTCCGAAAATCATTCCAGCGAAATTCATTTGAAAATATCAAATTACGATGATCAGCGGTGAAACGGTATCGAAACGAAATCGAGAATCGTTATAAATATTCGAACGATCCGTCGTTCGGGTATTATTATTTCGTTGTGAACGCTTCAGAATGCTTCGAATTTGTAAGCATAAGGCGTTTGTATTCAAACGGGAAACTGTATTCCATTTTTGAGGGAAAAATTCCAAAAATTCCTACGGGCATATTATACAATTTGATAGACATAAAGGAGGAGGACTGGTCGTGGTTGACTTTATCATTAAGCGTGGCGTATACTATAATTATGAATTGACCAAAATTGATTTTGAATCGCTTGTTAAAATAGAGCAACTCTACGGTAGTCCGTATGGCAGAATGGAAGGCACGACAATAAGTACGTTATAGTGGAGTCCTGTTTAATTGGAAAGTTGCCTTAAAAAACCTCCTGGGCAAGCACCGATATTCTTCCAGGTATCGTTAACATGATTAAGCATTAACCGTACACAATGAATGAAATTGTACTAGGAAATTCGACTATTTTGTAGAGACAGAAGCCTTGTGAAATAAACAAATTCCTGCTCGATTTGAATTGCTGAACGTTACGCATAAAACCGTTCTTTGTTTTCAGCGGTGAGAACAGTGTGTATACGATGTTATTGGTTTCACGATGATTAAAACGATCGATAAGATACTAAACGACTCGTGGACGTTGATCCATTGGCACACACGCATACGCATACACACACGAGAGCATTACTCACGGTGGAATTTCGATTTTAGGAAAACGGTTTGTAAATACAGTCGATTGTATAATACGCCGGTATCTAATGGCAATGTCAATGATAGTTTGCTGTAATATTTTTTTGGGAGTGTGTAATTAACCGATGCGGAACAATAGTTGGAAATTTTACGGCAAATCGATGAAACGACGGGGAATCTGGTGTGTATATAATGTTGCGACGACGACGGTCGGTATCTGTTAGGGCTCTTGCTATTGCTCGGTACTCGATGTACTCGCTCGATCGAGATCAAAGTGTATTCGAACACGTGTATCCAAATATTCTGGTATTCGATAGAAGTCCGAATAACCAAATATTCAATTTATACCAGAATAATCGAGATACTCAAACTCAATGCTCTATTCAAACCCGAGATGAAGTATCCAAATTTTGATACTTTCGTCGCTGGAATACAATTTTTATTGCCCGAGTACCGACATCGTTTGCGGATCGGTGTACCGGGATGTTCACTCTCAATCGAAAGAGAAAAAACTTGAGAAGTTCCGAAGCTCTAGATACAATGAGTGTGCTCCAAGTACTCGGGTACTGGAGAGCCCCAGGTGTCAATGGGTCAATGTACTCGAGAATTAAGACCCGGTGGATTTTTAAGGTTGGAACAGAATGCTTTGTGCGTTGTCTTAACAGAGAATAAAAATGAACTATTAATAATAAGGGAGTATCCTTTAATATATAATAAACAGATAAGATCAACATAGCGAATTTATCGGCGCTAAGGAGCAAAATACATATACACAGCAACGATACATATGAATCATATAGGACCATGTTTTATGTATGTACATAATATCTTTAACAACAACAACAAGAAAAAAAAAAGCTACCCACAAGCATATATATTAATTGTAAATAATGTAAGTGTTGTCGATGGAACGTTAAGATAAACAACAAATGATTGAGGGAGCTCGACATATATTATTATTATTACTATTATTATTATTATTATTTATTGATTATTATTATAAAATATACTGTATAATTGTAACGTTGAACGGGACTACGTTTTATACGACACACAGTGTAAGCTAGTCTCAGAATGTAACATACCGAAGCTGATAAAAGACAGAACATTTAATCGTGTTTATCTGTAAGTGAATGTGGAAACTTGCTCGTTCTTTAGATTTCTCACAACGAACTTCGAAATCGGTTTTATCCTCGAAAAAGGGAGCCAGTGTTTCTGCACACGTTCAACGCATTGACTGGTGCATCGGATAAAATGTATAATGAAATTTTGTTCAAGTTTCGAGAAAAGTCAGACAATCAATTTTTTTTTTTAATATTATTAACGAAACGATTATATCGAAAATTTGTTCGCATGCGGTTCGATCTTTAAACGATGAGAAATTTAATAAAACATGATAATTAATTAATTAATTAATTGTTTCTCACATATCGCTGATGTGACAGTCAACGCGTTAACGACGTATAATGGAACCTGCGTTATTTTTAATAACGGCTTAATCAACAAATTGTATCGATTGATGTAAAAATTTATTTGTAGAATAAGATTTCTTGATCTTTGACCATAGGCCTTTCTCCATCCGTAATAATTTTAAAAAATTTATCGAAGTGCATTTAATAAACACGTTTAAATAATCTCCGCTTGTTAAATTTTTTTAACGTAAATTTGATTGTAACCACGAAGAAGGCCATGGCACAGGAGATCTTATAAATTCGACAAATTAATACAAAAAATAATTACTGATTGCATATCGTTTTAATCAACAAAAATTTTTTTGTAAATAATGAAGAATTTCAACAAACTAATGTATTGATTTCATTTGATTATAAAATATGCATACTTGGTACTTTTGTATTATGCATGAATGCAGATGAATAAATTTAATTGTTAACTTACCTCCACATTCTTTCATGAAACGTTCATGTATAGTGAATTTAAAAGTGTGGAAACGTAACGAAGCAAAGCCATCAAGGCAAAGGGAATAAAGTTTTTCATTCAATTATTAATGGTATGAATAGCTTCTCTCTTCAGCTTTTCATGTGTATGTTCTATTATTGTGTGCTACAACAAGTGTGAGCGAAACAGACCATGTTATGCAACAAAGCACCTAATTGCACAATTACGCTTGCTTGCAGAACTCTTTATTTTCTGTTGATTTCGTCTTGGACTTTATTAAAATTAAACAGCGAATAGTATTCACAAGAAAAATAAACCACCCACAGCAATAATAGTGATGTAATTATGTCTCTGTCTTCATCTTTTGTATATTCGAATTGTGAATAACTTGCCTTCGACACGATACAACCATAGAGTAACAGTTAGCATACAGTTTAAAGATATCTATAGAATAAACTGCGGTAGAGAACGAGCATGATGTACGATGCTATTAACTTCAGACAATAAAATGTTATTATCGATGTTACCTCATTAACTGTCTTAACTCAATTCCTTCATCCTGATAATCATTTCTGGGAAAATAAGAAAGAAACTCATATAAAATGCACATTAATTTATTAATAGAACAGGAACAACTTGCTTCACCGCGCAATTGTAAAGTGGACACGCTTAGTAGCTTTTATGCGTTGCAAATTACTATGTTTTTCCTTATCCAGCTCCTCTTTTAATTTCTCTACGTGATCTGAATAGCCTATTGCATTCACGGTAGAGTCTAATTCCAGTTTCTCAACGTTCGGCACCGCTTTATGAGCATTGGTCAACATGTGCTTGAAAATTCCCACTTGTTTCTCTGTCAGAATTGATATAGCTGTGCCGAGCTTGCCTGCACGCCCTGTTCGTCCCGCTCTATGAATATACCCTTTGATATGCTTAGGAAGATCATAAGACACAACCAATTGCACGTCTGGAATGTCCACACCTCTTGCTAGGGCATCAGAGCTCACGAGCCTGTAGAAATCACAAAACAAATTATGCTGAAACATGAATATCATTGTTTTAAACACTTACACTTGAATATCTCCGCTGGTAAATTTTTCAAGCATAGCTTCTCGTTGCCTCGGCATCAGCTGTGAAGATAACTCGCCGACTTTTATGCTTTTTTCTAACAAAAATGACTGTAGCAAGACCGTTAGCCGGTGTGCAGTGTCTCCAGAGTTCGTGAAAATAAGAGTTTTCGGGACTGCGTCGTCCCTAAGTAGAATTTCGTACACTGCCACCGGCTTGTACTCCGCAGCACACTCTACTGCGAGCTCTGTGAGCTCTTCAGGGCTCGTGTAGCGGCCTATGAAGTCACCTACTACCTTGTCCAGATTTACATCCTCGTCTTTGTCTGATACCAAGACAGATGTAAACAGAATTGGCTGGAAAAGGCCTAAGCGATTCAGTTTTTCGGGGTCTTGAGACAGCGTAGCACTAAATAATAATTTTTGGGCTGGAATCTTGCTATTCAAGAAAATAAATATGTACATATTAAACATTGAAAGGAATTACTGATGCATAGAAATGAGAATGAAGCAGCTAACCAGTTATGTAGATTGTGCAGATTAAATCTTGGAACATGATGATGTTCAGGAAGATGTTCCAGCCAATCTGCAGATCTGTCTGCCTCATCAATAACAAGAAATCTGAGTTCAGTCAAGGAAAATCCTGGTGTCTTTAATATATGATCTATTAAACGACCAGGTGTAGCAATAACTATGTCTACTGCAGATATGTATTCTCCTCTGCAAGCTGAAAAATGAATATACAACATTTTATGAATTACATATTGATTATCGAAGCACAAAATTATTAATAAAAACAGAGTAATTAGAATACATACTTTTCTTAAGAATACTACCCTGTTCCTGCTGAAATGATGCTGCACCAGAAAGCAGGATAACATTCAGACTCGTGTGGGATGTATATGTAACTGCCACTTTGTAAACCTGTGCAGCCAATTCTTGCGATGGTACAACAATTAAGCAACGAATCTTCGGGACTAATCGAGATTGTAGTATTTGTACAATTGGTAAAATATATGCTAGAGTTTTACCTGTAAAAATTAATATTGTATTAATACCAGGAAATATTGAGCTGTAGTAAGTCAACAAAATAATGGTATACCGCTGCCAGTAGGAGCAGACACACATGTATCGCGCAACCACCATCCCAGCTTCCTGTCTTCATTACATTTTAACAGCCAAGAAAGCACAGATGATTGAACAGGAAATAATTTCTCAATACCGTTGCTTCTCAAAACTTCAACTAGCTTAGAATCTAAAACTGTACTAAATTCCTCTAAACTTGGTCCACTATTTAAATCCATTGACACAACTTCTGGATTAGCTAACCAGTCTGGCAATACTCTTTTCACTTCAAGCTTCTTTCTCTTAGCCTTTGCGCCCAGGACTACAAAGTCTTTTTGCTGCACCAATCCCTGTTCTTGAGATGTTTCATTAATTTGATCGCCTATGCTTTCATTCTGCATACCTTTGTCCTGGCTTTCATTGATTTCATTCTCTTCAACATCATGTTTCTTCTTTTTCTTTCTTTTGGACTTCTTTTGCTGATGCTCGATCTCTGTTTCAAGTTGTTCAACATCATTCTGTGTGGTGCTTTTTTGGACGGAATCATTTTGCTCAGGTTCAGTATCAAGGTTGTCATTTTCTAATTTGTTTCGTTTTTTCTTCGATTTCTTAACTTCTGAAGAATTCTCAGCGGCCCTTTGTAGCTTGCGCTCCTCTATTCGCTTCAGCAAATCCGATAAATGTTTCTTCTCATTTTTATTTTCATTCTCTTGTTCACCCTCGTATCTATTAACAAACGTTACTTAAATGTAAGTATTAAATTAAAAAAATTATTTTATAAATACTTATAAATACATTATATTAAAGTATCCATATATTTATTATTCATAACAAATCAAATTCACCTGTTTATCACGAATAAATTCATTTGTTTTGACAGTAGTACACACGTGTTACGAATCTTATAGGTTATGTATCACAATGTTTGTTATGCTAACCTTGGTGCAGAGGTGAAGCCTCAGTTGAATCTCTGAATTTTTGAAATTTTTCTCTTCACCCTTGTTTAAACCTCTATTAGAAATTAAACCATTTTATTCGTCAAACTTAACAATTTAAAGCCTAATCAGCATAAGATAAATACCAATAATTGTTAAATACATTGTAGATTATTTTATTATTGAGAATTGTTTGTATTGTATTATAGAAAATTGATTGCATGAAAATTTAGCTTGAGGTCCAAGAACAAAATGGTCGACACTGTAGCTAGTCTCAATGATTTAAAGTGACATGAATTACCAGATGAATAAGATTCAATAAACGTTTAAATAATACTAATAATATCTAGAATACATTATTGACATTATAGCTATCGTAATTTCTGGAATTGCTATAAAACAATCATGCTAAACGATGTACCGAAAAGGATACTAAAGAGCTCCGAATCAACTGAGGTACGTTTCACATTTTTTAAATCGATAACACTCATTTAAAAAATATTAAAATATATTATTCCATTGCTTCGTTAACCTAGATCGTCACTGTAGAGTCACAAATTTGACATTTTCGCTTGTTATATTACTATATACGTACATATGTATAGTTCTTATTTACCAAGAAACATATGTTGATCAAAACGCGGGAAATTTAAACGTATTTAAAAAAAAATCTTTTCAGGCAGATGTCCGCGAAGATGAAGAACAAGCGAAGAAGTTTCAAGAAATCATCGATTTACTTTTGGCTGCGGGGTATTTCCGAGCCAGAATCAAAGGTTTATCGAATTTCGATAAGGTGAGCTTGGTGCAATGTATAAAAAAGATTCTTACAATAAAAAAGAAAATATTTAAATAACATAAATTTTAGGTAATCGGTGGGATGACCTGGTGCATAGAATCCTGCAACTTTGATGTAGATATTGACCTTCTGTTCCGTGAAAATTTAACTATAGGTCAAAAAATGTAAAATCTCTATAAAATTATTGAAATATTCGATCGTATGAAATATTTTATAATATTCATAATTTTAGTTCTCTGACTGAAAAAATTGTTGCCATGCTGCCCAAAATGAATTGTCCATACCGAATAGAGCCACATCAAATTCAAGGCTTGGACTGCATACACATTTTTCCTGTTATTCAGGTATTTTTCTCCGTAATAAGTAACTGGATATTTTTTATTTTTATGATAGTCGTAATAATTACGAACGTTCTAGTGGTTGGTTAAACGCTCGCTGGAAACCAGAGAAGAAATGGCAGACTTCGTTCGATCGTTTGCTCTCAATCAATTTCACAAAAAGCATTCGTTTGTTGAAGATGCTGGCACTGGAACAGTTGCACAAGAAAATCTTATAAAAAACATTCAGCTGATTAGAGTAAGATTGCAATGTCTGATTCACGAGTAAGAGCAATTTGAAATAATTACGATTGTTTCGTAGAAATCATACGAACCACGACGACTGTTCAAACACAAAAACGGTTCCATCAAAGATGAATCCACCAGGTTTCTTGGCACAGTTTTAGAGTACGAAGCACCTATATACTATTCTACAAAAGCTTCTGGATCGCCAACAGCAACAGTCGCGGATGATACTAAAGATATTGATGCAAAAGAAGAGTTGAAAGAGAAAGTAAGAAAATATTTGTACTGTGTGCACATTCACATACATACATTAGATAAATTATAAATTAATTTAATTTTCACGCATGCTAATGATAGGAAACGCCACAGGTGGGCATTTTATTTAGCACAATTTTTTATTGTCAGTAATAACAGGATAATAAACTTCACGATATTTTTGTAGGAGAACACAGAAAAATTGGCAGGGAATCTAGCTGCCATTGAGGAAAGTTCGGTGAGTAACTTAGACACATTTAATGTTAGTTGGATATTTTTTAATCGTGCTTTTTACAGGCTCGTTTAAGTGTCGCAGCTGTAGGCAATATCGTTGGAATTCAGGCTCAGGAAATTGCTAAAGTTGCTGAGAAATATGCAACAATGACGACCTCCGAAATTCAGGTGAATTCCTGCTTGCGGTATTTTTGGTGAAACAATTTATTTTACTATATTTATTTTCCTTCGTCGCAGGATCAGAATTCGACGAGTTCTTCAGCATTCACCGCACTACAGAAACAGAAGATCCTACTACAAAATCGAGTGCGAAAATTAGCTAAGGATAAAGATGATGTAGCTGCTCAAATTTCAGAGTTTCACGAGAAAATTAACGAATCTCGTGGAAAACGGCAAGCTATCGAGCGTTCTTTAAAAAAGGCAGAGGAAATGGGGATTAACGAACAAGATAGGTAATCTTTTTATTAACAGCTTCCAGTCTCGCAATCTGGAAAAAGTAATTTCATATAAATATTTCAGTGTTTACAAACATTTGGAGGAATTGTTGTTAGTACACGACGGTTTGAAGGAGCAGGAACACAATTTCCGTGAGCAGTGCAAATCTGATTTGAACATTTTGCGTGGAAAATTACAAGACATTGAAAGTGGAACCTCCGAGGAGGAGGAAGATCGTTTGAAAGAGTATGAGGAACAAAAAGAAGCAGTGATAAAAACAAGATTACAATTGGCCAAGAAGAACAGAGCCATTGCTTCGTTGACTAGGCAATTGGATGACGTCCCCGGTCGCTCCGAACTCACGCAGTACCAAAGACGCTTTATGGAGCTTTATAATCAAGGTTTGGTATATTGAGTGATCCATTCGGATCACCCTGTATTTTAATGATGGATATTACAGTTTCAGCCAAACATAAGGAAACGAAACAGTATTATACATTGTACAATACTCTCGACGACACAAAACTTTATTTGAGCAAAGAACTGTCGTTGTTAAACTCTATTCAAGATAATTATAACGAGTAGGTAGTTGTTATTTTAATAGTTTATTTGTTATATTCCTATTTAACATTTTTACGATCGTTTATCAGGGCAATGGCGTCAACTAGTGGCAAGGAACAATTTTTAAAGCAATTCGATGCGATTGTCGCTGGCGTGAAACGCAACAAAGCAAAAGTAATTAATTTCAAATTGTTTATTTATTCGTGCATACAATTTTTATAAATCATTATTGAATTCCAGGTGGAGAAACGGTGTGCAGATGAAAAATACAGAAGGGATGCACTTAGTCGTATTCTCGCGTCTTTGATAGAACAGCAACGGAAATACGTGGCTGCTGTTAGGCAACTGACTATTGAATGTCGCAAGAATGAGGCCTTACTCGCACAACTGCGTGGTCCGTAATAATTATGGTCTTTTTACTATCTAAAAATGCTATCCTACAGATATTTCGTGTTTCAAATTTGAAAATTCTTGCGAAATTAAATTAACCAGCAGACAAATTTTTCAATTATTTCCATTATTTATTAAAAATGATTGATCGATCATTCTATGAATAAGAAGATTGTATATTTTATTAAGTTTAGATAGATTCAACAGTGCATACATAGTGCAATGAGATATTGTGAATGACTTGCATAATCTCTTGTATTAAATCATCTACAGATCGGCTATTGTTGGCGATTATTGCTCTTGCGTATAGAGACAAAATAATTCTGATTAATCATTATTTATAAAGTAAAGCCCTTTTTGATAACGATACAAGTCGATCATATCATATCTATCTATATTGTAGATCTCTGACCTTGAATATTTGTGGCTATAGTTTCATGCCAACTTTAACTGACCAGAAGTCGAACAAAGGAAAGTCTGAAATTCTTCTAATAAATGTATCAGTCTCTATAGTTATGATTTGTTTAAATTGCAAATGAGAGCATACTGAATTTAATTAAATCACAATTTTTTAAATTTCAATTATGGTAGTTTTATATTGAAAATTACAAAATTACTTTGCATCGCATTTCAATTTTAAGGCTCTACGTGGGTGTCTGCTATTTTTCAGATTCGTATTCACGAGGATAATCAGGAATTTCAGAAATGTTGTTTCTTCTTTCTCTATTAACGAAATATATACATTGTAAATCGAAATTTCGATTTTTATCCATCCCTTATTTTATTTGTTTTTCAATGAAAAGCGATCATTCATATTCGATAGAGGTTGCCAAAATAATCGTTGCGCGGAACAATCGCAACTGTGATTTAAAATAGTCGACGCTATAGTCACGTGACGGTTTTGTTAGACGTATCGTAGTATGCGTGTATAAGTGAACTGGTACAGTCAGGGACAAAATTAGGCGAGCGATTAAGTTCCTATTGATCATGTAATTATTTCCTTTCGCATGAATGGTGCACTACGTTTGGCCGGATGATTGAAGAAGAACCGTCAAACGGTTGGCTGAAAATCGAAATATCCCATAAACGATCTTATTGGTAACTTGTTGAATCGTGCTTGATTTTGTCGGTGACTGTATATGCGCACCTTGGGCTGCTTTAGCCTGCTGAAACAGTGTCTGTCTACTTACCGTTCGCAAGTATACAAGTCTTACTCAGTGCAGTCTGTTTTCCCTTTCGCAAGCGTCGGTGTTTTCCTCGTCATTCCGTCAGAGTCCTCTCGGTTCGTCGCTTTGTGCGAGCTGACGCCATTGTTCCCTTCATCACAGTGTATTTTAATGTGTTCACGTGTTTCGTCCGTAGTCCCGAGGACCTGTAGCCATAACCAGTGGTGAGGTGTTCTGTGAATTTCGTTTATTAGGCGGTCCCTAGAATGTAGCTAGAACAATACGGCGGCATATTACGAGAGCGTACGTAATATGACAATTGCATCGGGCGGACAGACCACCCGATCGTTCCTTTCAAACTAAAGGAACATGTGCTATCTACACGGTGGCTTTTAATGCGACACTCGCACGAGAGGAAACATGGCAAAAGACGAGGGGGACGACCTCTTGCCGGACAAGGACGCGGCGAAGGGATTCTACGCGAAATACGAGCCCAAAGAAATCCTTGGAAGGTTCGTCACGTGATCGATTCGAAACAAGAAAATAACAACATAGCGTACTATTTTTATTTGTCTTCTCCCAGCACGCGTAGCATGATAGATATGTTTGTGTTTGTATTATTAGACCATCGTACATACGTTGCAATCACTATGAACGTACCCAGAGATTCTCACCGTATCCTAACCTGTACAATTATATAATTCGATCAAGCTAAATCCACAAGACTCAACAATAACTTATTTTCAAACGAATCGAACGATATTTTAGTCGTAATTCGCATGTAATTTCGTCGCTGCACTTCTCTTTTGTAGACGTTAACGAATCACAACTACATATAACGTATATACAACTATTTACTCGATCGTTTTTATCAATTTTTAATTTTTTTAATGCTCTTTCTAGTTGTTTTTACACTGATCGTATTAAACCAGCTTCTTAGGAAGATTTTCTTATTTCCTCTTAGTTTAGTTATAAATTAATATTTACAGGGGAATATCTTCCACTGTTAGAAGATGTATAGAAAAAGAAACAGGTGTAGAGTATGCAGCTAAGATAATAGATATTAGTAATGAAAGTAACGAGGATGGAAATACTATGAAAGATGCTACATTACAGGAAGTGCATATCCTTCGTAGAGTTGCCGGACATCCTTATATAAGTTAGTATCTAATTACAAGAGAAAAGATATATGTAATGAAGAAGAACATGTTTTTGTTAACTACAATTTCATAATTTCCAGTTGAATTGCACGATGTGTTTGAATCAAACACATTTATTTTCTTAATCTTTGAAATTTGTAAGAACGGGGAATTATTTGACTACCTCACATCTGTGGTTACATTATCAGAGAAGAAAACACGCTACATTATGAGACAGGTGTTCGAAGGAGTCCAGCATATACATAATCAAGGAATAGTGCACAGAGATTTGAAGCCAGAAAATATATTGCTAGATGATAATCTAAATGTTAAAATAACTGACTTTGGTTTTGCCAGATTGCTAAAGGGAACAGACAAGTTATACGGTTTGTAATTATGTCATAATAATTGTATAATATGTGTCTGGTGTCAATGAAAAAACTGTCAATTCTATCACTATTTTTCTTATGCAGATCTTTGTGGTACGCCTGGATATTTGGCACCAGAGGTGCTAAAGTGTAACATGTTTGAGAATGCGGATGGTTATCAACAAGAAGTAGATGTGTAAGTTCATGGGAATTTCGTGTGTAACTTAATACACTGTTGCAATTAAAACAGTGTGGTACATTAATTAATTATCTATATATAGATAACTACTATTTATTTCTTCTTAGATGGGCTTGTGGAGTAATTATGTTTACTTTATTAGTTGGTTGCCCACCATTTTGGCACAGAAAACAAATGGTTATGCTTAGAAATATCATGGAAGGAAATTTCTCATTCACATCCCCAGAATGGGCAGATATAACAGGTTAATTTTTATATGTATATATACAAATAATCTAATCGATCTTATCAAATGTGTAATCACTAATCAATTGAATGCATATATAAGTTTATAAATTTTGATTGTATTTTTAGAAGCACCTAAAGATCTGATAAGAAAATTGCTAGTGGTTGAAGCAAAAAAGAGGATTTCCATTAAGGAAGCATTAGAACATCATTTTTTCCATACAGTTGTAAGTGTTTTATTGCATGCCTGCACGTAATTGCATTATATACTCATCTAACTTCAGCATATCAAATATTCTTGACAACAGAAAATAATGATAGAGGAGATTATGATTAGATTTGAGAAGACAAATATTGTGGTAAACTATGAACTTGGGAAAAATTTTGGGTCACAATATTTACTCCCACAAACGTAATCATGTTTCCCTTGAACTTCATTTTTTACTGTCAATAATAAGTTGACATACTTGAATTAGTTGAGATACTCTCTATTGTTGTTTAATAGAAAAATTAGTATTTTTTTTTTCTTTTATATATTTCTAGAGAATTGTATGATAATTGTAATTTCCTATCTTCCTTTTTATGCTTTATTTGTTGTAAATGATTGATTCATGATTCAAAAGAAAATTATCACGCATCGATCGTCGAAACAGTTTTTGTACCGTTGTTTTGTCTCCGATGAGATCATGTAACATAACATCAATATAAATCAAAAATTGTTGGAATTACAGCTATGGGATCAAGACATCGCGCCTCTAAAACGTTCGCTATCATCTAATTCTCGACGTCTGAGTAGGATATCTCAGTTAGCTTTGGTAAATTGTTTTTGTTTTTATTTTGTTTGCCCTCATATGTGGGTTTACATAACTTTTACGTAATTAAAATACAATAACAATTAACACACAATTAATATACAATTTTCATTTCCGTTCTTTTCATTTGAATTTCTAAATTATAATATTGGTAAGTATAATGTATTAATTCGACAGTGAACAATCATCAGTGTCAATCGTAATTGTGCGTAAATTACGTTTTTATGTTTCACATACATTCGTGGGAACCTTAATTAACAATAACTTGTTATCGTTGCATGATAAGACAAAATTTGAACAGATTGATAAGGAAGACACATATAGTGGAATCCATGACTAACAAATCTCATGACCTCATTGTTTTTAAACCATGTGATGCATTGCCTTTTCTCATCGTAATTTATTTTAATTACTCTTACGCTTCATTTTACACAGTTTCTTGTTGTTTTATTTTTATTGTTTCTTGTTGCAGCAAACTGTGCACGAATGGTACAAAATGTTATTATAAAATTCTTTAATTTCTTTATTTTTCTGCAGGAGTTGAAGGCAAAGTCGTTTAATGCAAGGAAACGATTCCAGTTAGCTATTATTTGCGTTCGTGCAGTTGTTCGTATCAAACGACTTCACACGACGCCTGAACCTCTTTCAACGCAGGTGGCATGCACTGACCCTTACAGAATCAAAATCTTGCGAAAGGTACCGTTCTTTTTGCATATTTATTATAAACATTAATAGATACATTCAACTTTTCCCTTATAGCTTGTAACTTGAAACATATTTAAAATCTGTGCAACTAATGATTTAAGCGATGTTTTAAGATAATCTTTTGGAACATCGAAGTTGAAAAATTTGATTGAATTACAGGTGATCGATGGTTGTGCATTCAGAGTTTATGGTCACTGGGTGAAAAAGGGTGAAGGACAGAATCGGGCTGCTCTATTCGAGAATACACCAAAGACAGAGTTGAAGCACCTTTATGTCACTAATCTGAGCAGATAACCAATGCTTCAACGAAGTATCTCCTAGTTACAATTGTGAATTTTTTTGTTAGTCGACGTTTACAGTATCTAAGCGAAATATTTTCATTGCGACAAAAAAAGTGAAAAAATAAATAAGTTATTTAACAGAGAGTGGTATACTTGTACTGCTTTTTCTTGGTTCTATTAACGAACAAAGAATTCTTCGAATGAGTTATGGTAACTATAAAAGTGTTTCACTGAACATGCAATATTACCAGATAAACATACATTATTATCTCTCTCGATACTGCGAAACAATATTCGCATTTTAGGAATATTTTATACGCTGCTCGACAAATTTAGTTGATAAAAAAAAGAGCTTCCCAAAGCGTGTTGCAAAATGTCAGAGGAGTTTTTGTTAGCAGCATATGCGGCAAACAATTAGCATCACACTTTTAGAGTGTGTTTTGTTCGTTGAACAAGTATTATGTTGAAAATTGTTCGTGAAATTATTTTTTTGAATGTTTTACGTTAAATTAATGATAATTTTTCTGCTTTACAGTATTTTTCGATTTTGTCGTAGCACGATAGAACGTGAAAGAATTTATTGTCAGTGGTACAGATAAGTTTGTGAACCATGTTCCGGTTTCGTTGGAAAAGTGGCGAGACCATTAAAAATGATAATAATATTTCGAAGATTAATGAAGGTGCTTGTAGGTACAAATATTTGAAAATTACTATTTCCATGACCACGCTTACGTTTGTACATGTACACTTATAAAAACACATAAATAATTTATTACAAATCAGCAAACACATGCTACTATGTAATTATACTTTTACTGTAGCCTGTTCCCACCGTTCTGCAAGATTATCATTAATTATATTGCGATAACGAAACAGCAATAACTCCAATAATTTCTGAAAAGTTTTATAGAAATAATTCATCTTGCAAATGATCGAGAATAAGCTACGGTAAAAGATACATATGAAATTGAAAATTATGCGAAATTCCGGCTTGATTGAATTTTACGGCGTGAAAATTGTATTCCATAGTAATATTATTTACTAAGATCTGTATGTACATTATAGTATATTTTGTGCAAATTCTAGTCATGTTTTATACTGCTGGATTTGTTTTAGATTATAAATCGCATAGGAAGAATTTGTCTGGATAATTTTCCTTGAGAAACAAACGTATGGTACATCTTATAATCATTGTCAATAATACAGAAAGAAAATTGTAACGAAATTCAATTTGATATTAGCATGCGATAAGAGGTTATAAAGAGTAGTTAAATAAAGATAAACCTGTAAGATAATGTTCATACGTGTACCTATAGTGTTATATATCTAGTGTAAAATGTATATTTTGAAGTAAAATATTTTTTCAAACGTTGAAACAAATCATGTTATTATTCCTCGTGTTCAAACAAATCTCAACAGCGTAATTTAAATACCTTGATACAACTTACGTTGCTCCAATTTCATTCGCAACATAAACGAGTAATACAGTATTTCCTGTATGTTTCATTTTTTTTTATCAACTTGATATAATAAAGTAACATAATCCAGTTCAACAATTTCATATAATAAAGTTCAATAACTTGATGCAATAAATATAATAATAGCTGTCCACCCTACCGCAGACGCACAGTGCGCTTATCATAAAAATCAGCTGGGCATCTATTATAATCGCGTGCGTAATTCGAATATCTTCGGCTAAGCCTATTGCGTTTCAAACTTAAAAGAATCTTCCGATCGCAGCATGAATGGCCGAAAAAATTGGACCTTTTTTACAAAGTTTTGGAGCGCTGGTTTCGAAAAGCAGAAGATACGTGTTTTTGGCGCGCGCGCAAAGGTAAACAATGAGCTGTATGTTTCGGTGGGTAGACGCGGCAACAGCGCGGGGCCCGCGATCCATGTGACAGAGAAGGAACGTGACAAAAGGTGGCAGAGGGTGACGCCGCCGAGATCGGAGTGAGTGTTTGCCCGGGCGAGCCGGGTGTCGGATGTGCTGTGTACGATTCTCGCGACAGTGGTCCGTTCTGGCGTCGACCGGAAGGTAAGCCCGCCCTGGAAACGCGTGATTGGCCGCCGTGGTCATGGTGAACAAGGTTTCGCACGATGCTACGACGGTAAATCCGGGAAAATCTCCGTGAAAAGTGCGTGGACTAGCTCGCGATATACAACGGAGCTCGACACTTCTCTTACACGCCCAGCGGAGTGCTGCGTCACATGGGCCGCGGTGATTGGTCAATACAGCTGGGTGACGTCACGGGCCGGGCGCCGATTGGCCGGCGCCTCGGATCCCAGACACGTGAATCGTGGCCAAGCAAGCATGGCTGTTGATGCGCAGTGGTTAGCACTTGTAAAATGTTTCTGCCACGCGCTAGATCGATCAGGTTATAACCGTCGTGTGCCGTGAACCGTCGCGAGATCGTTCGCCGTTGGAGGAAGCCTCGCGCGACACGCAGCTCGCGCCCGGCCGCGGCTGAATCTACCGGGAAGGAACCCGTCCTCTTGTCGGTGAAATTGATTTCCACCGTGGAAAGTGGGCTCCAGCGTGTGTTTCCATCGTGACCGGAACGGACAGCTCCGCCGCGGTGTGCGCCCGCACGTAAGTCGCCCGCTCCGAAACGACACGCGTCGCGATCAGCGTCACCACGCCCGGCCGAACGTCTCCGCTGCAAGAGAGCATTATCTCGACAGGACTCTATCACCTATTTAATTAACATGTGTATAGGTGGTTGCGTGGCGTGTTTTCCGTGCCATAATAGACCCAGCCAATCGCACGGTACTTCAACCGATGACGTCACGCCGCCGAGAGCCCCGATTGGCCGACGGTGCGTGCGTCGCCCGTCTAACGTGTGTGTAGATGCTTTGTCAGTTTAAGGAGCGAGCTCCGCGTACGGCACGCTTCGGGACTTGTCCGACGATTCTCGGCGCGGCCTTTTCCCGTCGGCTCCAGTGATATTCGTTTCGATCCGACGAACCCTCTCGTGCGAACGTCTCGACGTCTCGCGACGAACGTCGTTCTCGTTTCGCCACCGATAACAAACCCCGTTGAGGCTCTCTATGCTTTTCAAATCGACCGACGGACGGTGTTCGGCTCTCGCCTTTCCCGCCTCCTCGTTCCTTCGCTGATCTCTCGCGACCGCGGATCGCGCAGCCGACGGCCGACGGCCCACGCACAACAGTGTGCACGTTCTTGTACTCGCTGGCACGAACGCCACGTAACTAACTCTCGTCCCGTGAATCGTTTCGATGGCACATCATGACACTGTGAATCTAAAGCGATTTTGAATGCGACCATGGTTCGTAGATCCAGTACGTATTATACGTAGAACTGCATGTAATTCGGAGTCGGTCGGTATTTAATCGAGACCTCTGGACGCACGGCAAACGGGAATGTAACATTTACCATTTGAATCCCAACAGTTTGCGGCGGGCCATTTGAATCCGAATAACGCTCGCGGTTGATACAAGCACGATTACGTTATTTCTATACTTGCCGTACCATGATATTTATTTGTACGAATTCGGAGCTGATTGTCGGTATCCAATCGAAACGCGTAATCAACGACCCCGGCTTGTTTGCTCGAATTGTAATCAGCCTTGTCGGAAAAATCCGCAACGCGTTTTGTTTACCCGGGCGCATCGTACGCCAGTGCATCAAACTTTATCCGGTCTTTATCAAAATTTCGATAAGACAAGGAACAAAAGGACAGCTCTCTCTCTCTCTCTCTCTCTCTCTCTCAAAGACGGCACACGATCCGCTGGAAACGAACGTTTCGTGCCGAACAATAGCGGTTCTATTTATTTGTTCCCCGACAGTTAGATCGTTTCCAGCGATCGGGACTCGAGATGCGTGCTAATGCTGGTGGTGCGCTCCAGGAAAGCGCACGCCGCGCCTGCGCATCTGCCCCGGTGTGGTTATTACGGAACGTGCGGCTCCGGGAGGTGGGGCGGGGAGGGGACGAGGCTTCCCGCGCGACTGCGTTACGTCACGCGTACGTCACGTGACGCGTATTTCAGAGACACCGGTGGTGTCGGTGCGGTCTGCAGAGCTTCGTTCAAACGGGCTAATAATATTATTGAACAACAAAGTTTAACCAAGCGATGCACAACCGACCGTTTCGCCCGACAATCTGAAGTGCCGAGAGAGTGCGCCCCGGGGATCAGATGTGCGACACGTGCGATTTCACCACGGTAAACCCATAGAATTTGTGTGCCGTCGGACGAGCGCGTCGAGTCGCCGCGTCCGGCAAGGTCGACGAATTAAGAACCGAGACGGGATTAAATGCCTTCTCCCACCTCTGTCCGTACCGTACGACGGGATCCGCGGGCTCTCCCACACTTTTCCACGTTAAAAGGTGACTAAGGTTGTTTCCCTTTCGGTTTTGTTTGCGCGCAGATTGCCACCGGCGGCTGGCAGCAGCAGAAACAGAGGGTGGAGGCTCTCGACTCCGTCGACGTCGTCGTCGTCCTCGCGAGTCGGCGACGGGTATCGGCGCAGAGGCTCAATCTTCCCGAGGATCTTAAAGGGGAACAGTCGTGGAGCGGCTCGGCAACGTCAGGATGAGCCTGGAAACGCTGCTCGAAGCGGCACGGTTCGTCGAGCAGCAGGAGAAGAAGAGGGAGCGACTCGCCAGCAGCTCTTCCTCCTCCTCCGATCATCCGCTCGCTGTCGCTCCCCACTCCAACCATCACAACTCGAACGAGCCACGTGGTGAGTACCACGCGCCACTTTTCGCTCGCCGTTTCAGAGATAACGGAGTGTACGGGGTGAGCCGGTTAATACCGAAACTGAAAACATCGACGGGGTTTTTTTCGGAGCAGTTCGTACCGCGACAATATGTATCTTTCTCTTATCTTGGAACTGTGGACAATTTTGTGAATCATCGTTCAAACATTTCTCACAGATATTCGTCCTCCGAAAAATTCGATATCAGGATAAAAGTCAATTTGAATATCTACGGTGGAAATGTGAAATGTCCAACAAGAAAGTTTGGAAGGCTCAACGATTTTTAATATCGGTGTCAGACGATTCTCTCCCTTTTAAATTGTTTAACCGACCAATTCCATTGTATTAGATATTCTCTTAACGTTCGAGCTGTTCCGAATTTGTTCCGAAACGGATTTCTCACGAGAAATCCGTGCAAAACAGTTTGCAACAGCGTCCCACGGAAACGATAAACAAATCCAACGATTTCGGACCGGATGAGAGACACTGCAATATACATGTGAACAGCACGCGATGACCCACGCGTTCACCGTCTCCAAATTAGGTATGATTTCCCTCGCGGCAGTGGCTCTCAAACGCGTCGCGATCTTTTCGAAAAAAAAAGTTCCGCAACGGTTCGCGCGTTCGAAAGTTGCGCGAGCTCTCGATGCGTGTTCCATTCGATCCGATCCGTGTGCTATCGCCGCGCGTAAATCACAACATTTCGTCTCCGCTCTCCGACGATTCTGTATGCCCTTTCGGTTCCCGCGTTTTCTTAGGTCAATGACTCAACTGACCGATCTCGCAAAGCGAGTGGAAACGCTGGTCGAAGGAGCCTCTCGGCTGCACGCCATCACGCCATCGGTCTCCCGTTCCACATTGACTTCGCTAGTCAAATGATCGGCGTGATAACCTTCTCGAAAGAAAAAAAAAACCCGCGGAACGACCGGAGCCGTGCGATCATTGTCGAGGTGAACCGGTAACGGCGCGCAACTAGTACGATTCGCGACAAAGATCTTGTGCCAGCCTTTCGTAGGCGCTCTCCCGTACAGGGTGTCCCGGAAAAAGCTGCGACCACCAGCACCGGCACCGGGGCCGATTCTAAAAGCAACTCGAAAATAACGCTATCTCAGTCTCAACCTTAATATCGCAAGTGCAATCCGGATTATCGAGTTCCGATTGATAGCTGGAATCTGTCCGATGTACCGACGGGTTCGAAATTGCGAAACGGTTCTCCGTTTATCGAAGCTGTCAAGTTCTGAGATGCGCACGTGGCGATCAACCGCGCGAGGTTTCGGCGCCTGCGAAAAAAAGAAGAAACGCGAAAACCGGCCGCGTGAAAGTGCATCTCCTCGAGAGGCCGGCGATGTGTCCGAAGTCGCCGGAAGGTTGAAAAGTCACGGGAAGGTGAGGGTGGGAGAGAGGGAGGTGGGGTGGATGGGAAAGCAAAGAACGATTTAGATGACCATATGCATCCTGCCGGCCGCCCGTGCCCCACCGTGCGGCCAGAAAACAAGTCTCTAGCCGGTGTGCACGTAGCGGAGGACGCCTAGGAGCGTATAAAGGCGAAGAGACACTGGAGGGTGGCGGAAGTTTGGTGGGAGCGCGCGCGCGCGCGGTACGGTGCGCGGCAGGTCGCCGGGTGGGGGGAGTGAGAGAAAATGGAGTGGCGGTCGGGGGCCGGTGGGGATAGATCGCGACGATTAGGCGGCTGTGGTGGGGCGACGTGCGCGATATCGTTCTCGGAGGGGCAACGTTGATGACCGTGGTGCGCTGGCGGCGCCGGTGGGGAGGGGGGCGAACCTGGCTGGCGACCGGAGTGGGGAGTCCAAGGGACCCCGGTCACTGACTCTAGAAACTACGACAGCTTTTGTGCTTCATTCACGAGCGCGCCACCTACTCGCGCACGGGCGTCGCGCTCGCTGTCTTCTCTACCTGTCTCCGAAGCCTCGCGTCTTCCCTGTCCGCAGCCTCCCGCAGCTGATACGGCTCCGCCGACCATTATCCGAACCCTCCGGCCGCAGTTCCGCGGAGAATACAGAATTCCAGAGAACTCGTAGTCCCTTCGTTTTAGATTCTGAAACACGCTCCAGATGTCCGATCCTTGTCGTCGATCCTCCTGACCGCTGTCCCGCGTAGGGGAGGCCTAGATAGGTGTAGCAGGCAAAAAAAAGATGGACACGGTACAGGTCAGATCGATCTTCCCGTTTCGTTGGTTCGCGCGCGTCGACGCATCAGGCACCTGCGAACCGAACGTCTGTCGAACATGCCGGCCTGTGTCAGGGCCACTAATATTGGACTCTAAAAAGGACCAGAACACCCTTTCTCGTTTTCCCATGTACAGGCCGGCGAACCTGCGTGTGTGCAGCGTGTTGGCAACGGATGTCAATGGTTTCCGACGCGTTTAGAAATCGGTCCGCCGGTTGCGGAACCCGGTCAAACAGTCGCCGAGACGCGAAGACGCGTGCAATCGTGACGTCGCGGCTCCCGGCTATTTCTCCTCGTGGGTCGCGATGAAACCTTAAATGAAGGTGAACATACACTTATCGGCAGATCGATCCTCCGTTTTTCACGGTCACGCCTCCCTGGCATGATGAAACGTCGTCGGCAGGTGTGATAATATGTTTTTGTTCCCTGATCGCGTTTCCCTGCGTTTCCATTCGAAAGGTTTGGTCGCATAAGGGGGATGAAAAATAGCCTTGAACGAAATTGGCGAGCCACTCGGCGGCTCGTCGAGAACAAACGTTTCACGCGAAGTCTCGGTGGTCTTTGATCTTCGACGGAAGGGTAGTTAACAAAGGGGAATCCGGATTATCGGATTTCGGTGTCGAAAATTCCGAGAAAAATTCTGACACGTAACTGCCGCCCCGATGGACGTCCGAGAATTTTCTCCGAATTTCTGGTTAGCGATTTCGAGTAGGATGAGAAATTAATCATGATCTCGCGCAAAAATTTCGTCGAGAAAGATTCTTGTAACACGGATAAAGGCGGCGAAAGGGTCAAGAGTTGACACGCGCTATCATTTTGTCAGCCGTTAGATCTCCCCTCGGTCGAAAAACCGACTGCTGGTCTCGCGTCGGTATCCTGATCGTAACACGGATGATTTAAACGTTGTAATTTGCTCCCTATCTCCGTGCATCCGGTCCGTTGCCTTGTTGCGCGTGCTCGCCTGGCATCGCGGTGCGTGATATAACAGAAGGGAACGCGCGTTAAACGATAATTTCAGTCTTGTCTATCTCTAAAGCGCTCGAACGATGCTTTACAATCCAGTTTTACAGCTTCGTAAGCACGCTGTTCCCGCGGCTCGTTAAATCCGACGAAAATCATTCGGGGCCTCTCTCGCCGATACAAAAGCATCTGCAAACAATGCGCCGCGCCTGGAAACAACCTCAACGCGGCGGATCATCTAAAATTACATACATCTCCCCCGTTCTCCTGCCGACCGTTTTTCTTTTTTTTCTCGTCGTAGTCCGCCGCGGCAGCTCGGACCTTCTCTCATTATCGACACGCCGGACCCGTTGTTATCGCGAAGTGGGTCACAAATAACCCGAGCACCGGACGGACGGACTCGCCTAATACCCGAGAAAGCTAGCCGCGCGCGATCGACCGGCGCAACCACTCCTACCATCGTTACACACGGTGCCCCTACGGGGGCGTCTGTAACCCACTCACTGTCGAAACGTCGCGCGATCAGGACTATCTAGAGTGCCCGCGAGAGAGAAGCGACAACGTGCCGCCACCGCCGCCGCCGCGGCGCTGCTCAGCTGCGACCCGACGAGAACCGTTTCTCCTCTCGCAGAGATAAGGATAAGATCGAGGCGAAATAGAACGCACAGCCGGAGCCGTGCACTGTGTCGGCGCGGTCGGCGGGCGAGCACAGAGGCGAGCACGCGGGCAGCGGAGCCGGCGCAGTGCGCAGGAGCGTTGTCCCCGGCGAGTCTCCCCACCACGCGCGTCCGGCCGCGTGGCGTCCTGATCAATCGCGGCGTTGCCGAGTCCTCCGATGACCCGCGGACAGGCGGCGCGAGAGAGAGAGAACGATCAGCTCTCCCCCCACCCGGACCGCCGCCAGCTATCCCTGCTGACCTAGGGGAATACTCCCTCTCCCGTCCCCGCCGGCGCAGCACGTGGAGACGCGCCTCTTTCAATTTTTCATGCCTTATCGACCTGTAGATTCAACCGTCGTGCCGCGGTCTGGATCCCAGAGTTGGGCATTAGCCGAACAACTTTTTCTCCAGATAATTATACGAATCGTCCCGCGCTCGCCGATAATTTCGCCCGCGAGTGCTTCGCTATCACTTTATTCGCGAATTATTTATTTGCGAATAGTTTGTTCAAGAATTAAATGTTATTCGTCCTCGCGAATAACAATTATTTATTGCTAAGCCATCGTACGGTTGTTCCACGCGAAATTGGACACCTTTCGGAGTATGTACTGTTTTAGGATCTTCGTCAAATTCGAGTTAGTAGTTTTTAGCGATATACTGGGTGTTCGTATTATCCGACGCATTGAGATGTTATTTTTGCTGATTTAAAGAGACGTACCAGGACAACTTTGTTTAGCTCAAAGCTAAGAATATTATCACTCGTCTTTCTTCTCTCTCTCTCTCTTTGGGTCATTCTTTTTCAAGCATCGAAGGTCACCGCTATTTTTCGCACGTTAATCCCTATTTTTTATAACGCGACACTGCGGCGCCTATCAAGACGGATTCAACGGCCTCTGACACCCTGTGACCTTTAAAAAATCCCCCTCCGAACGATCAGTCCTCCCTTGCCGGCAGCCGGTGAATTCTTACGGCTTGCTAAATGTGTCTACAAATCACCCTAGCCCCTCGATTCTAGTCTCCGGCTTGAAAATATCATTTTCCGTATTTTTCAGTGGAATGTTTCCCTTTATTATTCCTTGTACCTAACACTAAAAGTCGACGTTCTTGCGGCAATGTCTCGAAATTCGTTGAACCGCCGTGCACAAAGCGGTCCGAATCTCAGTCGAAGAAAAGCCCAAGGGATGCTGGACGCACAATGGCAAACGGTGACGTGTTGCGCATCGCTGCCTCCGGCGCCACTTACCGGTCCCTCCACGTTGCCACGCGGCTGTTGCGTTTATCGCGGGGGAGGGGGCGGCAGAAAGAATTGTGCCCGTCGGTGACGTCGAGAATCGCGGGACAGTCGCTGGCCGTGTTCAGAAAAATTTCCCACGAAATCTGTCCAATTTTAATCCGAATTTTATTACGAATTTTATATCCCGCCGGTTGGTCCACCCATCTCACGGGTCTTCTGGGTCTGTTTGTTGCAGGTGCGAAGCTGAAAAGGGAACGCACGGAGCAGGATGACTTGTTCTGCGAAGAGAAACTGCTGATCATCGACGGTAAGTCCGCAACTGTTTTTTAGAATACGTTTTCCATTTTTCTTTTTTGTTTTTGTATTTTTCGTCGAACGTTCCCCGCGCGAAAAGTCACCGAGATCCAAAAATAGTTCCCATACGTATTTGCAACGTGCTCGTAATAGCACGACGCTAAATTAATATTACAACCTTTCGATGTTACTGGTTCACTACGTGTACCAGTGAACTACGAGGGGGTTAAGCGCCCAATCGATTTTCATTGGTCGGTTGGAGGGCTTAACACGTTCACCGCCGCGTCAGTCACCGGTGACCGACACGAAACGTATGATCGTAACTATTTCTAACACTAACGGACCACGTTCGTGATTAAAACAATTTTCCGCACGCTCCCCGAGAGGCTGGAACGATACGACGAAGCGTACTATGCGATGCGAAAGACGTCACGCGTCTAGTTTCAATGCTCTTAACTACATCGTCGTCTATCGTCGTTACCAACCATCGCCGGTCGAATAACCGGTCTCGCATTTTTACATTCAAATCGATGGGGAATAACAAAGATTCTTTCTTAAGAAACCATCGAATCCAATCTCTATGTTCGATCGAATAAAAATCGCGAGAACTTAAATAACGTTTAAACAAGTCTTTTCCCCGTTCTAACGGCGATATACGTCGGCTACTATTAGGGCTCGATAGGTTCATACGGATAATCCGGATTATCGGGTTCCGGTCGACGTAGCCGGTGCAATTGAAAATTCCGAGAAAAATGCGTCCGCGTACAGTAATTCCTCTCGCATTGTCCCTCGGACTGTGCAGAAAAATGGACAGCTCGGGAGCAGGAGATACGATTACTCGAGCCCCGCGGGGCTCGTTTCAGCGGTTGTTCTTGCCCCCTCTTCCCAGGCCGAGGGACAATGCGAGAGAAACGACTGGCGTTGCGATACATACGTATCGCGCAGTGGCCAAACTGTAGAACTGCGGTGATACCGTGAGTCCTCGAATCTGTTCGCGAACCGTCGTCGCGCCGACTGAAAGGCGCGTCGCGGCTGCCAACAAGAAAGTTAGAAAGAGAAAGCGGCCGGCCTGGGTATGCGCTTCTTGCGCTACGAGGACAGAGTGTCGCGGGTGACTGGAGGCAGTTCTCGCGAGAACGGAGATGTCACGGAAGGTGGCGGCGGCGGCCGAGGCGGCGGGCCGCGAGGAGATTGGTCGCCGTCACCGCCGCCGTTGCCACTGGCGTGGGGCGGCAGGGCGCGGGAGAGGGGCCGTCATCCTCAGGTTGGAGGCGGTGGCACTTACGTTTAGATTTCAGTCGGCACCCGCGTCTCACGCGGTACGAGTTCCCATTGGTGCCCGGCGACCGCTCGATCCGATCGATCCACGATCTTCCTCCGTCCTCGAGACGATAACCGGGATATACCCGTATAGCTGGTCGCGTCGCGCCGCGCCGCGGGCTCTGGCCAGTGATTAGGATCGAATGGAACAGTAGTGAAGCCGCCGAATCGGTTTCGCGCGGCAACGTTTCCACCGAAGACGACCGCTGCGGCGGATCGCCGTCCGTGAGCGGAGCGGGTGGGGGGAGGATCCTCGGGCCACGGCGCCGCGAGTATTTCGAAAGTTCGAATTTTTTTCATATCGCGTAAACGGCGACCTCGTCGTATTCATTCGTCGCGACCGCGTCCCCCCTCCTCGCGGCATCGTGACGCAGCCCTCTCTCTTTTCCACGCGCCTCGCATTCCGTGGCCGTTTCCACTTCTTTTTCGACTAGTCGCCGGTTCGGCGCGCGTCCCCACCGACAGTTTCGCAGGGGCTGTATCGGCCAAAGTGTCGTTCCCGAGCCGAGGATCACGTTCGACGTTGGCCCGGACCCTCCGAACGTGTCCAATACCAAATATCAGCGTCCGTGGACGCGCAACCCTTCGGTTCCTGCGGGCTCGGTGCCGGTTGGAGATTTCACCCCCCTCGCGGTGATTCCAGGATCGTGTACGGCAACGATGATGCTTGTATAACGGTGAATCGTTGAAATAGCAACTGTTTTAGACAGTTCGGTACTTGATTTGTGAAACATAGTCGAGGGAAGAGTGCACGAAACTGTGTCGCGCCAAGTGGGGGAGCAAATCCGTGGTGTCCCGTGAACTGTCACGTCGAATCGAGGATCCTCCGACGATGGAACGGTCTTTGTAGAAAAGCCAAGACCCGCTCTGCTCCCTTCTTGAGTCCCGTCTAGCCATTGGGCTGTCCACGGTGGTCGAATACCGTCGAGGATGACAACCGCGTGAAACAGTGTTGCGGCAAGCGTTGGAGACGGTTCAGCTGGTGGGATTCGCGGCTGCCGGGACACATTGTTGAAGATGACAAACGCATAAATTCCGGCCGGTGCCAAGAAGAACAGCAACTGGCACCTGGTGGCCGCTATAACCGGAGGATCCGCGATCGCACGTTCGCATGAAATTCGGTTGTTCGCGCGCGGCGGCGGTGGTGGCGGTGGCGGCGGGAGGAGGGCGAGCGAAGGGGGTCGTTCTCCAGTGCAGCGATCGTGGCGGCCACGGCCCTATATAGTCCGCGGCCGAGCGTGCTCTTTTTTTATCTGCGTGTAACGCGTGCCGGCCGGAGAGAACTGTGCGTAACGCAGCCGTCAACAGAGTTCTCGGGATCATGGGCGTTCTTTTGGTCGCGGATGGCACAGTGGCGGTCCAACCTCGCATGAGTCTGAACGCGGTCAAAGCTGCCGGAGCGCAGCAACCGATCGACGAGACCAACAACAATGTGAGCGGGATACGGGACGCGAATAGCCTGATGCCGGCGCAGGTCGTCGGTATTATCGGCGTGGTCGTCAACGACGAGCCGCGTCGCAGCTGGATGCCGCCCCCGCCCAAGAAAAAATGGATACGCCACTACCTACTCGGTGAGACAACCTTACCCTGTCCCTTCGGCCCCTGGCCAGCCGGGGCTGTTGAAATCACCGAAATTCGTAGACAGTCGACGGGGTACGATGGCGGCAGCGTGCTTGAAGGCGCCCTTCGATGCGGTGGAAGGTTTTTCAAAGTGGACGGAATTGTTTGAATCGTTTTCAGGTGACGGAACACCGAATTCATTTTTAATTTTGATGCTGACTTGGAATTGCAGGGAAAGTATACAAATCTCAGGTTCCTCGATCTTTCTTGGCCGAGCGAGCTTGTAACGAAAACTTCAAAAATTTTATAGATTTCGGTGATTTATTGAAATTGGTTGAGCTATGGCCACTGAAAGATTATAAAAATGACCCATTTTTCCTTCCTTAAAATTCATGAAACACTCAATTGTCCACAGCTTCTGTCAAGGTCAGCCAAAAAAGTTGAAGATCGTGAGCTTTTCATTTACTTTTTTGTCATTCCAAGTAACAGCAGAATTAAAGAGAAGTATCGTTAATCATTGTCTAACAGGCTAGTGCTTCTGTCATCTAAAAAATAATTCAATTCGTTTATATTGTTAAATTAGGAGCCACAGAAAGACTGATAAGTCTGCGAGAAATATCTTCGAAAGTATATTTTGAAAAATTGTGAAAATGGGCCGTTGTCCGAGGTTATGTCAAGGCCCTAGCCTGTGGTTCCTTGGCTCGTGGTCCTTTGGTTTATGGTTCCTTGGCTCGTGGTCCTTTGATTTATGGTTCCTTGGCTCGTGGTCCTTTGGTTTATGGTTTCATGGCTTATGGCTCCTTGGTCTATCTGCTATAACAATCGAGAACAATAGGGTACCGGAACCGGTTACTGTGGGATGACCAATTGCCATACCCTTGCATTCTTTCCGGGGCACTTTGTATATTCACCCATAAAATCATGCTATTCAACAATAAACAAAATCACTTAATACGTCTTGTTCGATCAACAATACAAAGTTAATTACGCCCGGAAATAAATCAGAGGCACAGCAATCGATCGCTCGAACAGTAACCGGCACCGCTGCCCTACTTGAAATCGGATCCCATCGGCGTTCTCTCTTAATATCGAACTCGTCCGATCGCTGCCGATCGCATCAAAATCATAACGTTTCGTTCATTTCTTGCCGCGACTCGATCGCGATCGAGAGGAAAGCGCGACGCCGTGAACCGTGCGTGTTTACGGTGTGCATCATCGATCGGCGGGCTGATTCATCATCAACTTTCGAAGCGAATTTATCAATGGCCTGCGAAGTTTTCGCGAACGAGTAAACACGGTTCGCGGCGCGGAAACATCGGAGATAACGAATAACGGAAAGTTTTGCGACTTCGCGAAGTTGTACGTAACGCGTAGTTTCGGAGGTGCGATTTCCCGAAGAACGTCGACGGTATAATAACGTCTCTCCACCCTTATTCGGATGGTCGATCGAAAAAAAAATTCCGCAGCAAAAATTCGACGCGATAAAATTCGCTATCGACGGCGATGGGTACTGCCGCCGGGTCGCGTTTGGCCCGGCGCCGAATTTCTTCCAAAATTTTCGAACAACGGTGACAGACGAACGTCCGAGCGGCGTTGGATTTATTTCCGGGATGGAACGAACGAATCGTCGATGCGCGTGCTGTTCGGGCAGCGCCGCAATGTCAGCGGCGTGTGTCGTTTCGAAAGCGGTGACCGATGCGTCGTGTCGGAGAGTCGGTATCGCCGGGTCAAAGGTCGGCGTCGGTGATCCGACGGAGAGAGTGTTCATTGCCGCGTCGCCGTTCGATTCGCGAAATTCTAGCGCGGACCGCGGGCTGCTTCTAATTATAATGCGAGTCCTCCTTGTCTGGCACGGCACCAAGCCAATTAGGAGACCGCGTTCGAAGCCGTGTTCCCCTAATCTTCGCGGATATACCGAACCCGCCTCGTATTCCCGACTTCTCTCCCTTATCTCGGCGGCACGTGGTCGGGCCGGCTCGCAGCCGTGACACTGCACCCCGGCATCGATCGCGGTGCAACGATGATGCACCGGCGACGTCCGTGCAGCTTTCTTCGAATTCAACCTCGGCGATTTCGATCGATCGGCGGCGAGAGGACCGCGGGACACATCGTCGACTACGTCGGAGCAGCCGGCGGACTTTTTTCCGTCGAGAATTTTATTCTCTCCCCGGAGCTCGGCGAACGTTCTTTTTTTTAAAAACGGTCTCGGCCGATCGAAAGCACGCGTTTCCGATTATCCGTGGCAATTTTTCCAATGCCAGGCGCGAACGAACAGGCACGGCGGAATACCTGTTTGACGGCAAACGTCGATAGCAGCGCGGTCTTTTTTTCCTCGAGCATCGAGGATGCTTCGAATTAAAGTGGTTACGCACGCACAGCCTATAAATATTCTTTAGCTGGACGTTCGGTTCTCGCATTACAGCAGGACCGCTGATTGAGCCGGCCGGTGGAGCTAGATTCGCCTAAACTTTAAATACTTAAGGGGGAGCGACCCTGCGAACGTCGCACGCCGGCCTGATATTCCGAATAAAATTCCGAAAATTCCTGTTCTTACGGCGCCTATTTTCTTTTTCTTTCTTTTTCGCGACAGATTCGAACGCGTGGAAATTAATTTTGCATGTAATCAATTAATTCATTTACTACATGTATCGTTTCTCGCGATTTTCTTTCGGTGAAAATCTTACGCCGTTGCGTTCGACGAATTTTTTTGGCCAAGGAACCGCGCGGTGCGTCGACCACGAAGCTTCGTAGACCGAGCGAAAACAAAAAACCGTGCGTGCGCGCGCGCGCTCGCTCGCCTCGACGGAAGCGCGCGCGCCGCGGTTTTTTATTCCCCGATTGTTGTTGCGCCTGTGCGTGCACAGCGCGCCCGAAATACATTATACATTCGGCGAGGCGAGAAAACAGAATGCATGAGCGTTCGCGGAAAAAAGATTCCGGCCGGGCCCGATTGACATATCATTTGAAAGGAAAATTAGGGGCTCGATTCGCAGCGCCGCGGCGAACGAGATACCGATCGCTGCTCGGCAAACGTTTCGGCAAAAAACTCTCGAGAAATATGTTCGGCCGTGTTTTGAACTCCGCGAGGGGGTCGTTGTTTCGGCACCGGGTTCGAAGTGGAATCCGCGCGAACGCCTCATCGACGGGGCGGTAAACCCCTGATTTCTCGTCATCCGCAGATGAGTTGAATCGTCGTTGTTACCATGGTCGAAATATTTACTATTATTATTTATTAATTGAACGGTAAAATACTAATATATAATATACACAGTGATCTAATTCGAAAATACATGGCGCAAATTACATGGCTTGGGTAATAATAAATAATGATTCATCACGTTTTTGCGATATAACAATCTTTTCAGCGTTTTGTTATTTGCGAGTGAAACTCGCTAAACATTATTTAAATGATATAATTTTTGTTAACACGTTCGCGTTGTTTCATCGATAGAAAAATTCAGAAACTTTGTGCGAGATAAATGTAGATTCGCTTAAAATTGTTGTACTTAAAAATAGTTGCAAAATGCACCATTATTTATTAATTGAACAGGCAAAATACTGTTTAGATTACAGAATGTATAATATACACAGTGATTTCATTCGAAAATACATAGCGTAAATTGCACGGTTTGAATAATGATAAATAATGATTCATTACAGCACGCCACAATAAATATAATTATTTAAACAATATAATTTCTATTAACACATTTTATTAATCCATCGTATCAACGTTAGAAAAATATTAGAATTTCGTGCGAGACAAACATCGCTCAAAATTCTTGCATTCAAAAATATTTGCAAAATGTATATCTATAGGGTCGTCGCGATATTTCGATTTTTGCAAGCTGCCCGTTTGGAATACCGAGATTACTCTCGCAACGACCCAACAGCAGAGTTCGGTACATATTTCGAAAAGAGCATCGTATTTAATCGGGCGAGACTAACCGGTGCCCGCTAGAACACGAAGAGCCGTCGTCGTTATTTCGGCCGCGGCAGGTTCGACGGTTCGTAAGTCCGCGAAACGAAAGAGAGCTGCGTGGTGACATTGCGAGACGGCGGACACAGCCGTGTTCCGAATGCGACGCGCAATCTCGTTACGTGACACGTTTTAACGTTATTCGCCGAATGCGCCGATGCAGTCGAGCGATGCACTTGTTATTCTCGCGGTACGTACACGCCGTCTTTAAGCCCGGAATAGATTTAGGAAGCGTCGAGCTATGCGACACGGGTTTGCCAAGTCTCTTGGTACATGAATGAGTTAGTTGCATGCGCGTACACGTGCCGCGCTAATTTATAGCGTTCGAACGCCGAGAGAAAATCTCTCCTCCGGCCCCGAGAGAGAGAAAGAGAGAGAGAGAGAGAGAGAGAGATTCTCTCTAGCGAAACGTTTTCGGTTGCTCTTGAACGTGTCCCGACGCGTCGATCCATTCCTCCCCACCCCTCGAAAAATTGAACTCGATTAGGTTTATTAATGTTTGTGAAAAAAATCGTTCATTCGATCGGCGGGTCTCGCTTGGCTCTGTTACAGAGGAGGAGCCGCTGGAGAACAGTAGAACGAACGGGAATCACTCGGCAGGATCCAGAGGGAGCCCCGTGATTTCGAGCACACGAATAACCCCGCTCCACACCGCGTCCCACGTTCACCTGACCCATCAGCAACAGCAACCGCAACCGCAACAACCGCCGGTGCAACAGCAACCCCCACCCCAGCCGCAGCAGCAGCAACAGCAGCAGCCGCAACAACAACAGCAGCAACAGCAACCGCATCACCCCCAACACCACCACCACCATCACCATCACAACAATCACAACAGCACGCATAACGTCTACGTGGAGAACCACAATTCGAATCACTCGCAGCAGAACGCCGGCAATCTCGTCGTTGACCTTGAACCGAACCATGACAATAAGAAGCATCGGAACGGGTAAGAAGAACTCTGTCCCGTCTCGCGTGTCCGATGCTCGGGGAACCGTTTACGCGAGCCACGGCGTTCTCGAATTCATTTGCACGGTCGCGGAGAAACGATGAATTTTCCGCGGGGCACCGTCGGCGAACCGCGAAAGGGTTGTTCCGGGGTCGAAAGCGAGAAAGTGTTCGTATAAATAAATCGGCCCGCAATGGGAAAAAATCGATCGGCAGTCGAAGTTAAGTTTAGCGAACGCCGCCGGGTCGGTCGGTCGGTCCTTTCGATCGCTCCCCCGGCTTTTCTCCTCCGTCTCCTTCCCTTTCCTTCTTCGTCAGCCTGTTGCTTCGTCCGCTGTTACGCTCTCGCCACTCTCTACCCCTTCTGCCCGGCTGGAGCAGCGCGCGGCGCCCCCTCCGCCGTCTTTCCCGGTCCCTGTTTTCTTGCGGCGCGGAGGCATACACGTCGGCGGTGCCGACGAGGCAGAATCTGCTATCCATTCACGCGATGCACGTGTCCAGGGTGAATGGCACGTGCACGGCGCGTCGGCTCGCCGTGTCCCGTGTCGCATCGCCGCTAGAGAGCTGGCCGGTGACGCGGTTGCCACGATCGGGTCGCAGGGCTGTCTCACGGGGTGCGCGATTCTCCCCGATTCGACGCTCGGATCCCGCAGAGAAATGGACGATTTCGGAAACGGGGACACGATTGGTCGAGCCTTGTGCCTCGATGGGTAACTATAAAAGAACAAGAGATAACCTTGACGTAACCTTCTCGTCCTAAATTGTCCATTTTTGTGTACAGTCCGAGCGGTAATTAGGGAGAATGTACTGCGGTACAGTAATGTCTCTCTAATTGACGCCCAGATTGACCACAAAAATGGACAATTTGGGAAGAAGAGATACGATTATTCGAGCCTTGCGGTTTATTTTTATTGTTATAAATTGTCCACAATTATAAAAATGAGCCGCAAGACTCGAATAATCGTATCTCCTCTTCCCAAATGATCCATTTTAGTGGACAATCTGAGCGTCAGTATGGGAGACATTACTGTGCCGCGATCGAGGCGACTCCCGCCGGTCGAAATTTCAACCACGGGCTCGCGGAATCAAATCTGTACATAAATCTGTAATAAATCTGTACCGTCCGCTTCTCTGTGTTCCAGGCCCTGCGTGATCCGATCGGGCACCAGGGAAGTGCACAACAAACTCGAGAAGAATCGAAGGGCGCACCTGAAGGAGTGCTTCGAGTTACTGAAAAGGCAGCTACCTCAGCAGGACGAGAAGAAGTCTTCGAACCTTTCCATTCTTCACGCGGCGATCAGGCATATACAGGTAAGCGCGAGGGCCTTCGTCTCTCATGGCTGTAAAACAACCACCCCTGGCGACCGAGGATTCGAACACCGTTTTAAAACCCAAGTCACACGTTCCCGCTTCCGAGATAGCATCGTCGCTTGAAGTTCCTATCGCTTCGTATCGGTAGCGTCTCAAATTGCATCATTTTCTCGAGTCTGTGGAATTTGTTCTCGCGACGCTTCTCCGTTGAATTCTATACNGGCAGAATCTGCTATCCATTCACGCGATGCACGTGTCCAGGGTGAATGGCACGTGCACGGCGCGTCGGCTCGCCGTGTCCCGTGTCGCATCGCCGCTAGAGAGCTGGCCGGTGACGCGGTTGCCACGATCGGGTCGCAGGGCTGTCTCACGGGGTGCGCGATTCTCCCCGATTCGACGCTCGGATCCCGCAGAGAAATGGACGATTTCGGAAACGGGGACACGATTGGTCGAGCCTTGTGCCTCGATGGGTAACTATAAAAGAACAAGAGATAACCTTGACGTAACCTTCTCGTCCTAAATTGTCCATTTTTGTGTACAGTCCGAGCGGTAATTAGGGAGAATGTACTGCGGTACAGTAATGTCTCTCTAATTGACGCCCAGATTGACCACAAAAATGGACAATTTGGGAAGAAGAGATACGATTATTCGAGCCTTGCGGTTTATTTTTATTGTTATAAATTGTCCACAATTATAAAAATGAGCCGCAAGACTCGAATAATCGTATCTCCTCTTCCCAAATGATCCATTTTAGTGGACAATCTGAGCGTCAGTATGGGAGACATTACTGTGCCGCGATCGAGGCGACTCCCGCCGGTCGAAATTTCAACCACGGGCTCGCGGAATCAAATCTGTACATAAATCTGTAATAAATCTGTACCGTCCGCTTCTCTGTGTTCCAGGCCCTGCGTGATCCGATCGGGCACCAGGGAAGTGCACAACAAACTCGAGAAGAATCGAAGGGCGCACCTGAAGGAGTGCTTCGAGTTACTGAAAAGGCAGCTACCTCAGCAGGACGAGAAGAAGTCTTCGAACCTTTCCATTCTTCACGCGGCGATCAGGCATATACAGGTAAGCGCGAGGGCCTTCGTCTCTCATGGCTGTAAAACAACCACCCCTGGCGACCGAGGATTCGAACACCGTTTTAAAACCCAAGTCACACGTTCCCGCTTCCGAGATAGCATCGTCGCTTGAAGTTCCTATCGCTTCGTATCGGTAGCGTCTCAAATTGCATCATTTTCTCGAGTCTGTGGAATTTGTTCTCGCGACGCTTCTCCGTTGAATTCTATACGCTGCAGTTCAATGAACGCGTTAACTTTTAACTATGCGAAATCGTCGCTTGCGGTTTTCCTTCTAGCCACAGAATTTTCTTTCAATTTTTAAGGTTACGTCAAGCATCGAGGGTGGGTCATTGGCAAGCGCAATTCGATGTACTCGATTTTAAGATTCAATCCTTTGCACTCGAAGCCATTTTAACCGTAAATCTAAATTAACTTTTCTGACTTGTAATATTTCCATTTTATACGATAAAGTGCATTTCATGCGTATGAAATTGAGTCTTGTGACTCATACGACAGTTAGACTTTTAACAATCTTTTTATATCAAAGCTTTGATAATATAAATATTATCTTGGAACGTGATGTAACAATTTTGGCGATGCCTCAGAGTCACCACTCAAGTGCAAAGGGTTAAATCTGATTCGGTAAGTCGAGAAGACGTTTTGAGAAATTGATAACGTTCGAACATCGGTTCGTCATTGTTTTGTAGCTCCTTCGAGAAGCTATTCCGTCTTATTTGAGAATTGTTCACACCACTGTACAGTTAGAAAAGTCGCGGGAAAGTATCGCATGGCCGCCCCCTGTCCGCGAAGGTGGGGGGCGGTTGCACGGTTCGTATCTTCCGTCTCGCGTTTTCTCCCTAAATGCTTGGCGCTCGGTCTCCGCCGGTTCCATTTCTCCAGCACCGCCGGCCGTCTCTCTCCGACCACTATTGTCCACTCGGATCCGCCGTCTCGTTCTATTTCCGCGTTTCTCACCTCGGGCCGTCCTCCTCCTCCTCCCCCTCCACCTCCTCCTCCTCCGGCGCGGCTCGGCTCGGCTCGGCTCGCCGCGCGGCGGCGCAAGATGCTCGCCGGCCTCGGTCCGGGTTCGGGCCTGCACCGACGGCACCATCACGCTGTCTCCGACTCTCACGCACGTACAATATTCTTCGCCGTGGTCGAGGCCCGCGTCTACGGTCGCTGCTCCACGTGACCACGCGGCCATCGGCGTTGCGCCGCATGGCACGTACAGCACACACTCTCGCTATCCGAAACTTTTATCGTCCGGCGCCATTGTTGGCGACTCCCGGAGCCACCGGGCCGACCTTAGCCGCGCGGAGCCCGTCGGGACCTTACGGCGTGTGCAAATTTCATCCGGCACAACGTAGGCTAAGCGGGCCCAATTACCGAGGTCGCCCGGAATCCACCGCCGTTGTTTTCATTCTTCGTCGTTCGTACGGCGAAGAATTTATAAACAAAATGTTTCATGAAACATTCGGCGTTGCATCGATGGAATGAAATCGTGAGAGTGCTTCGTTTACTGCGAGTTCTAAAAAAGAAAAATGATTGAAAGGCGCGCTAGGATAAGGATGAGAACGTCACAATGGATTAGGCTCGTTAAAAATCGTCGAGGGGAAGGGACGAATTTTTATCGTTTTCCGTGTCCTCCGATCGATTCGAAGAATCTTTCTTTCGCGCGAAGATCCGCGATCTTACTAATTAGAGAATTATTAATTACGATCGCCGCACGGTATCCGGCTCGACCACCCTATCTGCCACAACAATGACCCGACTGAATGTCTGCCAGATTACAGATACATTGAGGCAGTCTTAGCATTGACAACATCGCGCCGGCTAAGTCTAGATTTAGGATCGCCGGTGTACCGTTTCCATTTGAAAACGACGAGCGCGTTCAGATTGGCCAGCGGCGAATTCGTCGCGAACGTGTTCGCCCCGCGCCGGCTACGAAAGCCGACGGGCCAAAAGAGCGTTCGTTTCAGGCCCTGCGATTCGGTGCAGTTTCATAAAGCGACGAACGATCAGCGCGGCAACTCGTGCCAGATAACGGCCGGCCAGATAAGGTAGAAAGAAATGAAAGCGGCGTTATTTGCAATATCCGCGGCGATACTGCGTGCGAATTCAGCCGGAGGTGGCGGCGACCACGTGCTCCTAAGCCGCGCGTGCGCCTATTCACGTAACGACCTTCGTTCTCCTTCCTCTCGTCGGCCGCTGCTTAGGCGCTGTCTCCCTCCGGCTCGCGCAGGCCTCTCCGCCCAGTGGTGGTTATCTATGTATGTATTCCTTCTCTCCCATCCCCCTCTCCTTGACGACGCACTGTTCCACGCTGCGCTTGTCTTCTTCTAACCGTCGCCGGGCCAGCGGAGCCCTCTCGCGCAGCGTGTTTTTGCTCGTCCCGAGGCAAAAGTCCTCACCGACTGTTTATGCCGGTGCGCGGCTCTCCCTCCTCCGCCTTCCTTCCACTCCGCGTCTCGTTCTCCTTTCTCTCTTCCCCCCACTCCGCTCCTAATCATCCAGAACCGTGCGCCGGAGTAGAGGATCGTGTCAGCCATCGGAGCTGTTGAACTTGCAGGCGATTCTTGCACAAGGTGTTTGCGAAACATCGGCTCCGATTCCGCCTCGGTTACCAACCCCTTCGGGACGCTGTCCCAAGTCCAACCCTTCTTCTTCTTCTTCGCTTCGACTCTGCTCGCGTCGTGCGAGAAACGTTCGCAAAGCTAGTCCCTGTTTAATTGAGAACTTTTTAATGAACTGCTCGATGAGAACAATGGTTTCAGTTCTGCACCGAGTCACCCTCGTAATATAATAATATAATATAATAATAATATAATGTAATATAATAATATAATATAATAATATAATATTATAATATAATGTAATATAATAATATAATATAATAATATCATTATAAATAAAATATTATAATTTATAATAGTATAATATAATAATTTCGTTTGAGCTTATCGGCAACTATTGGAACGATAGAAACAAAACTGCAGACGATCTAGGCTGAATGAGACGAAAAGTTCGTACAAATTTAGCGGAATATTGGTGAAACAATTGCGGAGTAAATTCGACGTTGATCGACGTTCGGGAAAGTTTTAGTTGCGACGTGAATCATCGAACCACGTGCATCGTATCAGTAAAGCCGAGCGCGCCGACAGTCGCGTGAGTTTCTCCGCGCGGAACATTTTCTGCTGAATCTTCGTTGCAGGCTTATCGGGAGCTCTATCATTTTTATCGGGGCTTATCGCGCATTCGAGGACGTACGGTGAAATTTTCGAAACACTTGCCGTTTGTTGTCGCTCGATTCGCCGGGCGTTCACGGGGGGGACGTGAAAATGAGAGGAGCGCGATCGGTTCTCGATTTCTGTAACGAGCCACCCGAAGCATCGACGTTTCGGAATTCCGGTGTCGCGGGCGGGGGAGGGGAGTTCGAAATTCTCTTATCAGTTCGCGCGCCCGGAAGCCGGCGGGGAGGCGCGGCGGCTCCTCGCGCGACGGATTTTAAATTGCGCACGTCGAGAGCGTCGTCCTTGCAGATTTTTGTCGTGCGACGCCGCTTCGAAGGCGCGCTCCTCGCATACGCGCCGTCCGTATCGGCCGGCGGGCTGTCGGTGACCGCCGTCACGTGCACGTTCCTTCACGCGTGTCCGTGCTGACGTCAAACGGCGGAGCCTTATCGTGTTTCGTTGCGGATAGGTGTCCTGAATCCGCAGGAGTATCGTGTGACACGGCTCGCGCGCGGCACCGTATTCTTGAAAGTGAAGCGAAAATATTTCCTCCGTCGGCTTTCTCTCGATTTTCTCACGTGCGGAACAATGAACCTAACTTGATCGTCCCGCGCCGCGACCTTCGCGCCGCGCCGCGGAATCTTCTTCTTCTTCTTCTTCTTCGTCTTCGCAGCCGTCGCCGTAGTGTGTAGACCACCGCGTGTGTTTATCATTTATCGCCGCAGCGCGGATCTCTTTTTTTTCCTTACGCAACGGCTGCGCATTTCTCATGGAAATCGAGCAGACAAAAATGTCGTCTTGCGTTGCTACGACGGATCGTTATTAGGTCGTGTCGTAAATCATTTCCGATGCAGCTATGTAGAATCTGTTTTTCGTATCTACCCGCTGTGAGGGATAAGGGTTCGAAATAAATGAAATAAACGAAATAAATGAAATGAGTAAAATAAATGAAATAAATGAAATAAATAAAATAAGCGAAATAAATGAAATAAACGAAATAAACGAAATAAATGAAATGAATGAAATAAATGAAGTAACTCTACCCGCTATGAGGGATAAGGGTTCAAAATAAATAAAATAAATGAAATAAATAAAGTAAACGAAATAAATGAAATGAATGAAATAAATAAAATAAACGAAATGAATGAAATAAACGAAATAAATGAAATAAATGAAGTAACTCTACCCGCTATGAGGGATAAGGGTTCAAAATAAATAAAATAAATGAAATAAATAAAGTAAACGAAATAAATGAAATGAATGAAATAAATAAAATAAACGAAATGAATGAAATAAACGAAATAAATGAAATAAATGAAGTAACTCTACCCGCTATGAGGGATAAGGGTTCAAAATAAATGAAATAAATAAAATAAACGAAACAAATGAAATGAATGAAATAAACGAAATAAATGAAATAAATGAAGTAACTCTACCCGCTATGAGGGATAAGGGTTCAAAATAAATGAAATAAATAAAATAAACGAAACAAATGAAATGAATGAAATAAACGAAATAAATGAAATGAAAAAAATAAACGAAATAAATGAATCGAGAAAAACGAAATAAATGTCTGATAAAAAAAAAATACAAGTAATTGATGCCTCTGTCTAATAATTCCGTCGGTGCTTGTATGTCACAGAAATAGGGTACGTTTAAGAGAACGAAGCATCGACGACGGAACGGGGATTAGGGTAACGTGTTGTGGCTGGCGGACGCTTCTTCAACGCTTTGATAACTCTGTTGCAGACGTTGAGGAGGAAGGAACGGGACTGCGAGCACGAGATGGAGAGGCTCGCCAGAGAGAAAATCGCTGCCCAGCAGAAGTTACTAGCTTTAAAGAAGGAGCTCTCCGCCACGTGGGATCATATTGATTTTAATACTCTTTTGCCGGAACAGAGTTCGGCTACCGACGTCACCGCCACCAAAAGTGGTAAGTCCCAGATCGTTTCGCGTTTCTCAATTATTTTTATAAACACGTTAACCCACGATTCTCTTCTGAACGAATTTTTATTTTAAACGTTTACAAATTTTTCTCGTAAATCCGTATATTTTTAAAGGGAAACAACCTTTATTTTATCGCCAAAAGGAAAAATCAATTGGGGTTCTTTTTTATTTCTTTCTTAAATAAACGAATTCAGGGCAAAGCCGTTAAAGTAAAAAAATCCAATCTTTTTTACCGGATCGTTCGATGTTGATCGAATATTCAAACCGTCGAATTTTATAGAAAACATGGAGGTGGACGTGACGGGGTTGGCCCGCGGAGGCACGAGGTACAGCAGCACCAGCAGCCTGAGCAGCGCGGCCACGGCCAGCTCACCGCAGACGCTGCAGACCTCCAGCACCACTCCCAATATTCACAATCAAGTCGCAACCGCGGCCGTTGTCTGTCAGACCCAGGGTCTCAACCTTGCGCAAAGTTCTAGGGAAAGTCCGCCGGCAAGTTCAAGTCCCAGAACGCCAACGCCTAGCATTCCTACCCCGGCACAGGTAAATCCGATGATCCCTCCGACGGATTCTTGTCCGCAAGGCCCCAGTGTCAATCGAACGTTTGTCACCGTGTTAGAACGATTCGTTTTATGGTACTGTCGCGAGAAGAATCTTCGGACGCATGGATTAGCTCGGCGGGTTAGATATCGGCTTCGTAATCCCGAGGTTGCGGGTTCGAAACCCCGGTTAGGTAAAAAAATTCTCTCTCGGCAGCTTGCAGTCCGCGCACAGTTTTTCTCGCGCGGGAACATTTGAAATGGGTAGTTTATATATATCCTTCGTGCACCGAAGCAAGCCGTTGGGCACAACGTGACTGTATTAGCGTTTGTGTGTGAAACGGTGCTAGAGAAATTCGCGGCTAAAATAATACGTTTCATGCAGCATTAGAGTGTGAAATGATAAAATAGTGGCGAACACCGTCCTTTCTTTTTTCTTGACACTAAACCCATCTGTGCAGGTCAAATAACTCGATTCATATTTTTCGTTCAACAATCATTTAACACGTTGAATGCCACGCCGGTTTTACAGAAATTGCCCGTGGCGCCACGATGAATTTTCTTTTATTTGATACATATAACGTTGAAGTATTATCTGCAATAGATAAGTTACAGTGTATAACCATGTGTGACATGTTAATTGCGACGGGGATCACAGTTTGAATCGACGATGGTAATAATACCAAATTTTAGATATTCACATTTGTTTTGAATTATATATATATATATATATATATATATATATATATATATATATATTTCTATCAATTTGGGGGCGCCGGTCACCGGTGGCCCCCATGGCATTCAACGTGTTAAAGTACAACGATGTTTCTATGAGAAATGATGTAATAAATTTCTTTATCTGGGGCTCTATTTTTTAACAATGATTGCACGAAATCTAAATAAATTCAATCGTGCCATTTTGCAAGGAAAAATGCTCCAGTTACATTTACGCTTGCTAGGTTTATAGATGCGTCACGAAATACAGGCAGGATGTGAAATAGTTTTAAAATAGTAATTTTAAGGGATGGTTCCGTTTGATTACAGGAGAAAGTGACTACATCGCCGACCGGTATAGTGCAGCAACAGCAACAGCAACAGCAACAGCAGCCTCACCAGCTCCACCTACCGATCAGCGCGCAGATGTTGAACACGAACCAGGGCCTGGCGACGATCGTGCCGACCCTGCAGCACATCGGGCCGAGCCTGAGGGTGATACCGGGCGACACCAGGCAGCTGCTGGTGGCCCACACCCCGGGCAACAACGAGTCGAGACCGTTGACGCTGGCCGTGCAGAACTCCTCGGATCAATCGAGGCCGCTGATCGCGGTGCAATCGAACACTGGAAACGAGCCAAGGCCTGTGGCGCTGGTCGTTCACTCGTCCACGGCCAACGACAACCGAGTGACGTTCGTGCACTCGAATCTGTCCAACAACGATAGGCCGTTGGCCTTAGCCGTGCAGTCCTCCGCCAGCGATGTCAGGCCGGTCACATTCGTGCACTCGACGAACGAGGGAAGACCGATAGTCCTCGCTGCGCATTCACCCGCGCTGAACGTGACGAGTGAGTAGAGAGAGGCACCCTGCGCCGGCGACTATGCAACGACCACGGCGGAGCTACCTCTTTTATAGATTTATAATGTATATATGTATATATACATATATATGTATATGTAAAATTGTGTTGCAGATACCCAGACGAGGATAAGAGCAGGAGATTCTCAGAACACGCATAAAATGGTGGGCGGCGTGACGCTGGTCGGTGGGAACGGGTCGGAGCTGACCCGGCTACCGGGAGGCGCCGAGTTGAACATACTACCAGCGAACGGTATGCCTAATTTTCACCGTGTTCAACTACCGCTCGCAGTTTTCCCTCGTTTCGTTTCGAATTCGCCGCCGTTCTACGGCGCGACCAGTAACGTTCCGCGCGCTCCGTTCGACTACGTGACGTCACCGGTTCAATAGCCAATAGCAAACGGCATCTCGTACTCGATAACAATGCGGCTCGCAGCGAAAGCCAACGGGACGGTAACGAGAGGAAACTGTTGTTGTCGTTTCGAGAAACATGGTTTGAAGTTTTTTACGTGCAATCGGGATAGGAATTTTTTCCGAAAAGAAAAAAACAACAACAGAATATTTTATACCTTGACACATCTGTTTAGAAAACAGTGCGGCTTTCAAAAGTGGAGGAACATTATTTATAAAAACTATTCATTCGATCATGTATTTTATTAAAACATTAAAACATTTCTGTTCGCATTCAACCCCTTTAATACATCCTATTTCTGTTCTCCAAACTAGTATTTAAATCGACTATTGTTTGCAACGTGTTTTGTTTTATGGTTAATCGATTTGTTCGAAGTCAAACCGATTATTCCGTTTTGCTAAACGCTACAATTACAGATCAATGTTCGTGAACGTTACAAGGATTTTTGAGCGGACGATACTAGAAGGCTGCGATAGCTGTACCGAATAGGGCACAGCTTTACGGCCGGGAGGGATTCATAGATTCCGGGTTCGAATCTCTCCACACCCTGTTTAATGGGAAAAATCGAGATTGAAAAATATTATATTCCATTGAAACCCCATAAATACCCAGGCATCGTATGGAAGGCCAGAATTGCATTAAGACTAGCACTTCTGTAACACTATAATGCCACAGTAAACTGGTCACTTGTGCAGAACGATCGGTGGGGTTAGGATTTTCTTAGCCGTAATCGTTTTGAAAGTGACCAACATTTCTCTCCAAAAGAGAACTTAAGCTATACTTTTACGTACTCTTTATATGTATACTCTGATAATCGGCGACTCCTCGTCTCACATTTTCGTTTCCAAGCTGCGAGAAACAATTTGGAAGAATTTACTGTACACGATTATTCGTTACGCATCGTTTCATCAATCTTTCATATTCATTTTTGTACTTTTCAACACGACCAATATAGCAATAAACTCGAATCATTCTACGACCATTATTTTTCTGTACACTTTCCAACATGAATACATTAGAAGATCAACATCTTTCTTTTTTTTTCAAATGGAATCGTATCTTCGCGACACCTTGTATATAGCAGGTCGATTGTAATTCTCGTTGATCGTATTGCAGGGTTGACGCTGAGCCACGCGGGCGTGTCGCTACAGACGGCTGCGGGGAAGCCGGGGTCGACCACGGTGATGCAGAACGCTCCGTCCACAGAGGGTATCGCCCACATCGTCGGCTCGCACGCGCCGCTGTCCGGCCTGACGCCGATCGTCACCCCGATGACCGTGGTCTCGCAAGGTAGCCAGATGACGGCGCACATTATAGCGCCGTCGAGCCTGGCCGGCAAGATGATCACCACGCCGATCCTGAAGTCGGTCGCGCAGATGCCGATCGTGAACGCCCAGTACATCAACACCACCACCCTGGTGAAGCCGGTGGTGGTGGTCAGTTCGCCGTCGACCTCCAGCCCGCAGTCGACCACGTCGTCCAGCACGCAGCCGTCGTCAACCACGCACTCGACCGTCTGACAGAATCAAAGGAAGCTGAAATTCCTTTGAGAAAAGATCCGACGTCTATCGAACGTCAATGACGAGCCTCGTGACCGACCGCCGCGTGAGGGAACCACGTGATAAAGCGAGACGGATGGGTCGCGGTTATGCGATCTGGATCGCGGACCGGTTGTCTACTCTTGACACGGGAGGAAAACTTTTCTATTTCCGGCTCGTGATCGTAACGTGTTTGAAATTCGAGCTCTTCCAAAGAGTGAGCTAGAGAGAGAGAGAGAGAGAGAGAGAGAGAGAGAGAGAGAGAGAGAGAGAGAGAGAGAGAGAGAGAGAGAGAGA